GTGCGTGCGTGCGTGCGTGCGTGCGTGCGTGCGTGTCTGTGTCTGTACAGGCGGAAGGACAGCATGTACCATGCGTTGGGTTACAGCAGCATCCTGGTGATGCAGGCGACGATGACCTTTGACCAAAGAGACATCCAGGCGGCCATGACGACCATCAAGGAGGCGCTCCAGACCTGTCAGAGGTGAGGGGTCATGTGATCCACATCTAGCGCCACCTAATGTTTGACTCATGCAAACGACTAAAATTTAAATAAAAATTCAATTCTTTTCTGCCTCCACACTAGAGCATTTGTTGTAAAATAATAACAGATCATAAATACATGTGGTGACTGAACTTTGGGGATTTTTCCTCCAAACTTGTTTCTGCAGGTTCAGGAAGAAGAACTCGGTGGTCGGCTCTCTGTCCAGTCTGATCAGCAAGCAGTCCAACCTGCAGGAAGGTACAGAACACATGTCCCGCCCCCACACACACACGGTTTGATTGACAGCTAGAGGTAGCACAAAATAGAAGCAGGATGTCAGTGTTCTGTGTTTGTGTTCACAGAGGAGATGCACGCAGAGATCTGCTACGCTGAGTGTCTGCTGCAGAAAGCCACGCTGACGTTTGTACAGGTCAGCACTGTTTACCTGTTTACCTGTTTACATGTTTACATGTGAATATGTTTGCATGTTTCCCTCTCTCTGTGTCAGTCTAAATATCATGATTGCCTTTTGGAACAACTCACCACTGTCTCATTTTGATAATCATTCAAGATTAAAAGCAGAATGATGGTCAAGATCTGTGCATCAGAGACCGATATAAATACATTTCAATCAGTAAGACCGACAACAGTTAAGAAAGTAAATACCCAGAGACACTCAGAGTAGAGATACGAGAGCTGTTTGACTCCACAAGCCTACAACGTTCATGTGATGAATGATATAAAATGATGCCATAACACATCCAGATAAACAGGGTAACTAGTCCAATAAGGGTTATAAGGCTTTTAGCTAATTAATTCAAATGTAACAGAATCCTCTTTGTCTCTCCGTCTCTCTTCCAGGATGAAAACATGATCAGTTTCATCAAAGGAGGCATAAAGATCCGAAGCAGCTACCAAATCTACAAGTGAGTGACTGTTTCAACCCATAATCTACTTATTTGATTCATTAATTATTGTGCCTCGCGAAACAAAAATCTGCTCATTAAATTATATATTGAATTCAATTTTCTAAACATCAGTAATGATCATAACTACAAAATATTCCTTTATTTTCAGAATCTAGCCCTTTAAATGATACTTTGTTTACATGCTGCCACTGTTGTTATGGGAAAAAACAACACGCAAATGTAATTATTTTCTGTTTAGTAAATGCAAGGGGGAAGTCTGGGATATGTCAATAATAACATTGACTTTGATGCATTGCTACAAACACTGCAGCGCTCCATCATACAGCAGCAATGCCCCCTAGTGGAAACTGGGACAATAGCAACATCCAGCGTTCTAGAAGGATAGAATAGAATGTATTTTTTTGTGCTGTAATGGAAATTTGGTTTTAATAGGATTCAACGGGGACATTTTTGTACTTAAAAGTCTGAGCATCTGTATTTTGCCAACACAATTTTTCTAGACTTATTATCAGAGCTTGAATTTAACTTTTAAAATGATTAAAAATGTTTGTTGTGACGAACGTCTCTCAGTATAAATACGATCCTGATTCTCTACTTTCCTGATTGTGACGTCGTGTTCGATGTTGTCCAATAGGGATTGTCAGAATTCGCTGAATGCCACTCAGAACCTGGGCGGCCAGTCAGATGCGTTCAGGCAGTTTGAGGGCGGAGTCAAGCTAGGCATCGGATCCTTCAACCTGGTGGGTGTTCAGAGAGATGTTCACTGGGTTTGTTTTATTACACGTTAAACAATGAAAATAATCAAATGTATTTGTTGAGTGGTTTTCATTTTTCTCAAAGACAGTTAACTCACGTTAAAGTTGACTAAAATGTGTCATTTCTAAGCTTTCGGTTACATCGTGTTGTGTAACATTTTGTAACACTAGTTTATAATTTACTGGTAATTGGGTCAGTTAGTGAGGAATCCTCACGTTAACACTTCCTTTTCTGTCGATTGTTTTTTTTTGCCAAAATTAGGTGTATGTCATCGGCGTATTGGAGAATCACAGATATAAATAGACTCACAGATACAGTATAAAATGCACCTATTGGCTGATTGAAAGTGTCATGATTTAATAGTTTATTTGATTGTGATTTCATAGTGTTTTCTGTTTCTCTTTCCAGATGTTGTCTCTCCTCCCTCAGAGGATTTTGAGGTTGTTGGAGTTCATCGGATTCTCAGGAAACAGGGCGAGTACAACCCCTTTAAAAGTGAACCAAATATCTGTTTGTAGAGTTTATAGAAACTTTACAGGCAGCTGTGAAAGTCTCTTGTTTTGTAAAACATGGCAGTCTTTGTGAATAATATTAATAATGATCCTGTATCTGTGTGTCTGCAGAGGTTTGGTTTGTCTCAGCTGAGAGACGGAGCCTCCAGTCACAGTTTGCGGTCGATTCTCTGCGCTCTGACTCTGCTCTTCTACAACACATATGTGTCACTGATACTTGGTAGGAAAACAAACATTTAGCTATTTTTCCATAGATATAGAACACTTCACCTGTTCCACATATTGAGCCTTCTTGGGGCAGGTACTCCATCCCAAATCTGTGGAGTATAAGTTGCAGAAACTCTGGTCCTCAGGTATTTTTCATGCCTCTTGTGAATGACATTATGGCGGAAGATAACGGGGTTGATTTTGTGTTGGATCAGGAACCGGAGAGGGGAACCTGGTGGAGGCTGAAGCTCTGCTGGAGCCGTACCAACAGAAATACCCCAAAGTAAGCCACAAATATGCACAAAGTGTCATTCTGCAGAAAGATTTGACGGATATGTTTTAATTTCAACTGTAAAAAAGAAAACTGATTGTTAAAAACTAAAAGTTCTGCAGTGATTATCTTATGACATATGTTTAACTTCAAATCAATAAACTAAAACCTACATCGTGTGTGTTTCTTTCAGGGCTCCATCATTCTGTTCTACTCTGCTCGTATCCTCACGCTGAGAGGAAACTTCGAGAAGGTCTGAAACGCAACGATTTTTGATGATATATGTATTCCCTCACCTCAACCGTATTAAACATTAACCTTAAAACAAAGTCTGAACCCTCAAAGAGCTCTTTGAAGAAGAGCCTTTTTATGAAAATATATCTACTAGTCTTCATCTTCCAAACATGTCTTATATATAGCTCATGGTGTGTGTTTCAGGCCCGGGCGAGGTACGAGGAGTGCATCAGCAGCCAGCAGGAGTGGAAGCAGATCCACCACCTGTGTTACTGGGAGCTGATGTGGAACCACTCCTACCAGCAGGAGTGGCAGCAGGCATACCAGTACGCCGACCTGCTGTGCAAGGAGAGCCGCTGGTCCAAGGTAAAAGAATACACATGAATAATAATAATAATGATAACTTTATTTATATAGCACCTTTAAAAACAGAGTTTACAAAGTGCTTTGACAGACAAAGCAGCAAAAGCAAGACAATAATAATAATAACAGAAAGCTCAGTGAGACAGTCGATATGATAAAAGTAAACTAATAAATAAAATAAAACAGAAAAGTGACGACATCACATAAAACCCAGTCTGTTAAAAATGTGTTTTAAGAAGTGATTTAAAAGAGATTACTGATTCTGCGAATATATCCATTAAGCTTTCCTCTTCAAAAACATTTAACACGTTAAGACGTTTTTCTTGCAGTATAGTTGGCTACCTCCATGTGTTCCCAGCTGTGCTTAATTTGAGCGTCAATATTTGTAATCAAAGTTTATTCTGTTTAAGGTTTATTCTGACCGGATTACTGAAAATCAAAGTGCTTTCATCAGGGCACCATAGGCTCAATCACCATAGTGTTACCTTATTCTGCAGTAGATAGTTATTTAACAGACATTTATTGAAATATACGTAAATGAAATCCCATCTTTGCTTTTTACCCTCTCCAGGCAATCTATGTGTACCAGAAGGCGGCCATCCTCAGTATGATGTCAGAGGAGGAGGTGAAGAAGACGGGGGAGGACATCATGGAGCTCTTTAGGTCAGTCTGCCTCATTAAAACATTAATAATTAATCCACATGGTATCATCTGATCTCTGAGGGAAATACATCGTGGAGTAGAAATGGAAATAAAGTGGGAACATTATTTCCAATCCTTTGTTCTTAACAGGACAGTTTGAGAGTTAAGACTCCAGTTTTAGGTCAAAGGTAACGGGGGAGGGGATGTATGATGCTGTTGAGGGTCCTAACAAGAGTAGAAGTACAATACAAAGTGTATTCATGTTTGTGTGCAGGCAGGTGGAGGGTCTGAAACAACGCCTGGCGGGGAAGTCGATTCCAACAGAGAAATTCGCCGTGAGGAAGTCGAGACGCTACAAAGCTGCTAACGTCGTCCCCCTGATCATCCCCGCCCTGGTAAACTCATATATACTACTGCCAAAAAAACACATGTACACACATTTAGTTTATTGAGTTATTTTAAGTCTGGGGTGTGGAAGAGAGAGTTCTAAATGATCAGCCACGTCTCTGATTGGCTGTCATTAGATGTACTGTGAATAAGAGAAATATCTGGTGACATTTCTTCTCTCTGTCTCTGTAGGAGATGATGTACGTTTGGAACGGTTTCACCATCGTCGGGAAGAGAGCCGACAGCACCGAGGCCCTGCTGGTTACCATAGAGACGGCTGAGGAACAGCTTCGCTGCGATCCCAGTGAGTTCAAAGAACACCGTTCCACAGGGTTCCGTCCTCGGCCCACTTCCCTCCAATTTATACTGAATACAAATGACCAGAAAAGTGTTTTTTTAGATGTATGCAGACGATGCTGTTGTATATTTATCCGTTAGAGCTGTTTCTGTTATCTCAGCACTTAAAATCCACAGCAGCGTGGTTTCAAAACAAAATGTCTTCAATGTATGCAGTTCATTTGCACGTCGATATATTTTTCCGCACTGTTTTTTATCCCGAGTACCTTCAAACATAACGTGGGTAAATACATTATGAGTTGTGCGTATACTTATGAGAATTATGAAAGAACACTAAGACGGCAAACTTTATTACGCCTTTCAACCATTCTTTGCCTTTCACAATAAAAGCCCGAGACATATGAACTGCGTAAGTGTTTCCCAGAGGCAACTCAAGTTCACTCAACTCAATAAAATAGCTTCCAGTAACTTAATTTTCACTCTAAACATTAAGAAAGCTGTCAGTAAGTTACATTTAAAGATGAATGGATTAATGTGTCTAAATAAGCCTTTTCTTTTATCTACTGTTGCTCAGTGAACTAACTACGGCTCATGTGTCTCCTTCAGGCCCCTCAGAGTTTCATCCAGACGACAGCTGCCTGGTCCAGATGTTGAAGGGACTCTGTCTGAAACACCTGGGCAGATTACTGCAGGCCGAGCTCTGCTTCACGCAGGTCCTGTCCAGGTAACACCCACAGACAGACATGCAGACAGACATGCAGACAGACAGGTTCAGGTCTATCAGGTCTGTCTTTATCTAAGATGAATCTTCCTCTCTGTGTTTCAGTGAGAGTCGTATCAGATACGATCACTACTTGATTCCCTTCACTCTCTATGAGTTGGGTCTGCTGTACAAACAACAGGGAGACTTCACCAAGGCCACCACAAGCATCGAAAACGCCAAGTAAGTTCACTACATACAGTATCTATAAAATGTACCTCATAATATAGTACATATATAGAGTCACTCATACTAGTTTGAAGTTAGAATATTGTCACTTAAAAAGTGCCACAGGAGGTCTTTGAGGAAAAAGAAGCAAGTACAACATTTACATTTATTCATTTAATTTAATTTTCACCAGGACGAACTACAAAGACTACTCCATGGAGAGCAGACTGCACTTCAGGATCCACGCGGCCCTCAACAGCCTCAAAGGATCCCCGGTTGGCACCCCATAATACTCAGAAACACACCTCGGACCAGTGTCGTGAATCTGAAGTGCGTCGGGGGTTTGATGTCCACCAAGACTCTCTCATTCTCCATTGCTTGCTACCTTATATTATATTTGTATGTGTCCTTATTTATTATTATTATATTTTTGTTAAATTGTGTGGACAGATGAGATTATTCAAGCTTCCCGTCAATACTAAGATTTGATTGCTAGAAGCCAAATGTCAAATTAATCAACTCACTACAGAACTTATCGATGGCTCCTTTGTGAGTAAGGAGACAAGGACACACTTTGAGAGCTTGTTCATTCAGACGCTTCATCTTTGGATTGCTGCAACAAAGCTGCACTTTTTGATTTAAAAGCACTAATTAAATAGAGGTTTAAACTTTAAAACCACAAGGAGAACCATGGAGACAACCTCCAGTTCTGAACAGTGAGGCTTTAAAGCTGCATTCTCTCTAGTGTCCACCAGGGGGCGACTC